AAACAGTCAAAAGTGATATCTTTACAGAGTGACAACTAGTAATTTTCCCTTTTCTTTAACTAKTTTTGGCACTTTTTAGATTTCTTATGAGCATATGCTTGTTTTCAGGAAGGAAAACAAAAAAGGATTGAAAGGAGAGAAGAGTGGGAGGAAGGGCCTAAGGACAAACACCTGCATCATATGTCCAGAGAGGTAGATGACAGATGTTGCCAAGTTTGGCAATCCTTGTAATGAGCCTACATTTTGGGAGCAAATTTTTGCTACATGCATGTCAGATAGAGCACTAATCTCCAGGATATATAAAGAACTCAAAAAACTTAACACCAAAAAAACAAACAACCCAATCAACAAATAGGCTAAGGAGCTGAACAGACACTTCTTGGAAGAAGATATACATTTGATCAATAAATATATGAAAAAATGTTCAATATCTCTAGTAATTATAGAAAGACAAATCAAAATTACTCTAAAGATTTCATCTCATGCCATAAAGAATGGCAGTTATCAAGAATACAGACAACAAAAAATGTTGGTGAGGATGTGGGGGAAAAAGTCACACTCATAACTTTGCTGGTGGGACTGCAAATTGGTACAACCAATCTGGAAAGCAGTATGGAGAGTCCTTTGAGAACTTGGAACAGAACTACCATTTTACCCAGTTACCCCACTCCTTTGTCTATATCCAATACTTAAAATCAGCATACTATAGTAAAGCAGCCACATCAATGTTCATTTATAGTAGCTCAATTCACTAGCTAAACTGTGGAAGAAACCTAGATTTCCTTCAATAGATGAATGGACAAAGAAATTGTGGTATATATACACAACAGAATATTACTCAGCATTAAAAGAGAATAAAATTATGGCATTTGCAGGTAAATGGATGGAGTTGGAGAATGGTGCAAAGTAAGCCAATCCCCCCCAAACAAAGGCCAAATGTTCTCTCTGATAAATGGAAGTTCATCCATAATGGTGGGGGGAGGCATGGGATAAATGGAAGAGCTTTGGTGGAGCAAAGGGGAAGTAGGGGTGAGTGAGGGTATGGGGGCAGGAAAGATGGTGGAATGAGATAGACATCATTACCCTAAGTATACGTATGACAGTGCACATATGGTGTGATGTTATATCATGTGCAACCAGAGAAATGAAAAGTTTTGCTGCAATTGTATACAATGAATCAAAATGCATTCTGCTATCATACATACCTAATTAAAATTAATTAATTAATAAAAAATTTTWAAAAATATATAAAATAAAATATAAAAAAGTCTTTTCATACCACAACCAATAGCTTTTTAGAAAAAAGCAAATTATCTTTCTCAATGTTAAACTAACTGTATACTCTTTAAAAAAATGAAATCAGATAATTTGATAGCTTTTTTCTCATCAATTGTATAGCTGGACTAGAATTTTTTTCTCAGTGCATTTCTTATTTCTTGAWAACTGAAAAAAATTACAGTAGCCATGCATATACCATCAAACCTAATTTAATTTCAGATTCATTACAGAGCTGCTTTTTATTCATCAAGGTCATATCTTGATGGCTTCACAAGCTTAGATAAATCAGGTGTTAAGCAGACACATCTCTGAGGAACCTAAGAATGTTCTCATTTGCAGTTCTCAGCATATCTTATTATTTATTACCAAAGAAATGACTGATTAACTTTGTCATCTTTGCCCCATGTTTTTTCTCCTCAGGCTGCAGCAGCCTGCCCTCTTCAGTGATGCCTGATCAGACCTATTTAAGATGATGTCTTTGATCACAACATTGARGCACTTGCGATCTTTGGCTTTGATGAAACATTGTTCCACTGTAATTTTATGGAAGGGAAACAGAGGCCTAGATGATAAATGACAGTCAACAAAGAAAAACAAACTTATTAAGATTTCATACTCTTCTTTGGCAGTCATAATCTTCAAGCACCAAAAAGTGTAGCAGAAGTTGACCAGTGTAGATTTTACTTTAATATATAAACCATTTACAAAACCTTCCCTTTTAAATAATCTCCCTATTAGCTAAAGTACCCTGAAGAAGAAAATACTGCAGGTCAGAACATGCCTTTATGAGTTTTAAAATGTTTTCCTTATATTCTTCCATTGCTATGGTCTGTAAATTTCCTGGCGATCAATTAAATTTGCACTTGCATGATATTTTATTATTAGAAAACTCCTAAGTAACACGTGCAAAATTAGAACATTAAACATCAAGGAAAAAATTACATGCCTCTAGGTTTTTATTAATCACATTCCATACCAGAGGCTGAAAGTGTATCAAATCACACCAAATCTTTTTCACATGACAACCTCATAAATTATTCAACTCATTAGTATTACTAAAAAAGCATGAAAAACTCCATCAGTATAAAGGATATTTTCCAACTGGAAAAGGTCAACCAAAAGTTTTAATAATGAAATAGAAGGGAAAGCGTTTCAAAGTATGAAATAAAATTATTGTTCTTTTCCTTAAAAATTATATCCAATTCTGATTATTTGCTCATTTAAAAGAAAGCATTAACAGATTTTTTTTGAGGCTCAAATAAATTGCCTGAAAATAATGCCATGAAATTCAAATTATGGCTAATGTTCCCTCCCATCACATCAAAGTCTAACTACAATTTAATCTAAAATGTTTGGCTGAGTTTGGGGTAACAGAAAAAAATCAAGTGACTCAAAATTTTTTTTATTAACACATGAAGCTTTCTAAATCTGTTTCACTTCTATTACACTAATATAGTTCCATATTCTTGAAATACGTACACTACATTAATAGGTAAGACTCAATCTGAGCTTCCAATCCCAGAGATTGTTCTGATGGCCAGGTAAATATTCCCTATTTAAGTATTTTAGAGTGGCGCCCCAAACATATATAACTTATTTAAAATTGTAAATACTTTGCTGATTCTAATACTTCTAGTCATACTAAAAGTGATGTCCATAAAACATTATTTTGTTCCTGAAAAAATTTTGTTGTTACCATGATTGAAATGGTAGCAACAAATGAATAAAAAAGTTTGACCAAATTTTACAGCATAGATTACATACATTTAGTTCTTTTTTTAACATTTATTTTTTAGTTGTAGGTGGACACAATACCTTTATTTTATTTTTATGTGGTGCTGAGGATCGAACCCAGTGCCTCATGCATGCTAGGTAAGCACTCTTCCTCTGAGCCACAACCCCAGCCCCATACATTCAGTTCTTAACTTTTGTTGTCAGAATGTAACGATAGAGAAGTTAAAATACTGCAATTGTTTGACATAAAGGAAGGAATAAGTTGAATTTCAATTTGTCCTAGATGCTCACTAGCATTTGCAAGTTTGAGCTATAAATATACCTTTGATCTATGACTACTCACCATCAAAACATTCGATCATTGGATGTTAGTATGCACACTGCCAGACTTTGGCAAACATAAATATATTTAAATATTTAACATAAGAATATTCAAATGATAGGCTGAGTTTTATGTTTTTTGAGATTGTTTTATTGCTGTTAGTTTTATATGTATGTTCTGAAAATAAAACCTTTGCTTAAAATATAGAAAATCTGTGTTCAATTAAGTTTTTCAACATTTATTTTGACTGGATGAAGTGCTTTGTAATAACTGCTGACATTTACTTCCTATTTCTACTGAAAAAAATACTTTGTATGTAGGGTAGAGGTCATGAAGAAGGTACAATACTGCAGTTTTCTCTTGGCATTTTATAACTTCTCCTTCTCTTTCTCTGGAGAGATTYCTCTAGGGAGTACTCCCCACTCACCTCTCTGCATCCTCCATATTTTACTGCCTTTTTTGTCACATTTTCCATTTATTAGGGTTAGAAATTTTTTGTGTGTAATCCATTGAGAAAATAAACTGTATTATAAACAAATAACTATTTATCAATCATAGAAAATTTCAAACTGGATGGTTCACTTATTGCTCCCAAATAAATGAGAATTAACACATTAAAGTAATTGTGAGAATTAAAATGGGTAATAAAAATATATGAACAATGTTCATTACTGGTATTTCTTCAATGTATATGATTTATAAAATTCTGATATGATTAATCTAACTTAAAATTGTTKAGCATTTTAAAAAATGGGTAAATAATCTGAGCATGATAGCACATGCCTATAACCCCAGTGACTCTGGAGGMTGTCAGCCTCAGTAAATTAGTAACACATTGTGTCAAGGGGGAAAAAAGGGTAAACAGACAAAATGTTCCTAAGTAAATGGGCACAATTTATAGTAACAGAATTTTTATTAAACTATAAAATATTTTTATATTTACTATTTACCATACATTTTATAAAGCATAATTTAAGGTAAAGTTCTATTGTAGCGATATAGCTGATTATATTGTTAATGGCAGGCCATCTTTTTCAAACTTCATTTGTAACCTATTGGAGGATGGGGAATTAAATTGACAGATTGAAACAGGATTTTTATCTGTGTTAATCTGAAAAGAATAGCATAGGAATATTACAGAAAATTTCATGTAAAGAGGTTATTAATAATATATTTGTTTCAGTTAACATAGATATATGTATATATGTATATACACATAACATACATATGTATGTATATATTTCTATGTATACATATGTACAAACTTTTATATACATAGAAACATGTAAGTCTGCTTATAGAATTACAACATAATGTTTCTTTTCCAACATGGGTCTTAGTCACCAAAGTTTGAAAGACACTGAAGAAGAAATTGATGACTTTATTCCATTTATTTATGTAGGCTTTATGAAATGACGCTGGGTAATAACCAACTATATAGAATCTTTAATCTCTTAAAAAGAAATTGAAGGGTCCTAAGTRTACCTAGTGTAAGGAATATAGGGTTAAACGTAACTAGAAAAATTCTGAAGAATAAAGCAGAACAAAACATTTCTGACTTAAAATATGGAGAACATTAAATGCCAGTGAAAAATATAAATTCTCAAACACAAAGGGTCACCTCATATCCAGCAATATTTTTTGTTTAAGAGGCATGAATACTCACCATATTCTATTGCAGCTTTCAGCAATGCTTCAGCATGAGTGGAGCCAAAGGCATTACGAACAAATCGTCTCCTTCTGCGAAGATCATCTTCCCAGTAATCCAAACGCCAGAAATCATGCAACTGGCTAAATATGCAAAAACAAAGAAACAGTATTAATTACTATGAATAAAAATGTATAACTGGAAATTTATTCTTCCCATAAAATTAAAGCTCTATTTCTTTGGTCTCAAAAACCAAGATGATTTTTGAGATATTTATATTTTACACTTCTTTTCTATACATGTTTCCTTTAGAAATAAAAAAAATCTTAAATTAGAAATATTCTCATATTTTAGGCATTATAACACTCAGCTCTGTTTTTAATTTTTTTTACCATGTTCTTTCTGCTACTAAAAAACATAAATCATGGGGAGGTTAGTAACAAATGCAACATCAAATTACAAGTATTAATGACACAGTTTGCCTTTTTTTACACTGTTTTTAACAAGGCTTGTAAATCACAGGATAGAATTCAACTACAAACAGTTTGCAATTTAATGACCATGCTTTCTTAGTAGACTGAATTAAGAAGTATAAAATATTGCCCACTTGGATTTGGTGGAGCAATGATTAAAATAATGTGCTGAAATATTCATTGAAATAATTCCCTGCTGCCCACAGCAACCTGAGAAAAGTGCAATTTTATCCATTATTAATAATACTGAATTAGAGCTGCAAAAGATTTCAGTCTGTGGTAATTGTCTTGGTAAATTATTATTCTAATGCTAACAGAGTCCTTGGATGATTTTACAGCTTTTTACTAATATAAACCATTAACAACCAAAGCCCCATCATTGAAAAACACTGTCATTTATACTCTATATTAAAAAACAGTGAAATATTTCAGAAACTACTGAAATGCATTCATTGTATATGCAATAGAACATCTCAKGATATAATTTTTGCTTTCAATTTAGTTTCAATAAACACTGAAGATAAATATCACTGCTTAAAAAGTTGTTTTTTCTGTATTAGTATGTGGAATAATATACTCAAAAAGATAATATCCTTAATTTCCTGAACAGCACTATTCATAAAAACATATAAAAAGCTTTCATAAGAGATTTGATTTCACTTTTATATTTTGATATCTTGTTGTAGAAAAACACTTTAAGTTTGATAAGGCAGGATCTGTATGCATTTTGCACATTATTATAATTCTGGCACCATGTCTGATAATGCTATATTTAGTAACTATTCAATGAATTAATTAAATATTTTTTCAGAAAAAAATCTATAGACATATAGTTATTGAGAAAAATAATTTGGGGGGCTGGGGTTATGGCTCAGGGGTAGAGCGTTTGCCTCGCATGTGCAAGGAAGGCCCAGGGTTGGATCCTCAGCACCACATAAAAATAAATAAATAAATAAAGTTATAGAAAAAAAAGAAAAATAATTTTGAAAAACAGATTTTATGCTTATATAATTTTGCTATGTATGACTCAATTATAAAAGAATACAATAATATAAAAAATATAAAAAGCATTCAAATTATAGACATTTGAAATATACTTTAATATATCTTTATTTTTCTGTACCTCAAACTTTATTTTTCTACTAAAATAATGCTTACCTGGTAAATTCTCATAATAAAGTATATCTTTATGACTAATTTAACTAGAATTGATTTCTAGCCGTAAAAGTATAGACTAATCCCAGTTATTGAAAAAAGAGCCTGTTAAAATCTTGCTAGAAGGGTTTTCCTTAAAATTGTGTTAAAATTAAGTAATTGAATTCACCAGCAGATACCAGAGATCTTATGTTATCTCCAGTTTCTCACCATAGCCAAATGTACCCCTATTCCTTCCAAAAAAGCAACTGAACAGTTCTTGACATTATAAATAAAACAAACTCAAGAAGACTCTGAAAGGTGGAGAGAAGGAAGACTGGCTAAAGTCCTTAGGACACAGGGGTGAGGGGGATGAGGTGCCTTTGCCTCATAAATCCTCGATGGGAATCAAAGAGATCAACAACCCAGACAGGCCAATGGGTAGTGAGAAAAGCTGCAATGAAAGTCTGCTCTCTTTAGCCCGAGGACAGAAAAACAGTTAGCCCAGCAAGACAGAAATCTTTGATACAACAGCTGCTATAGTCCAGCCAAATCTCACAGAAAAACTAGGGCCCCACCTCACCACCACAGCAAAGAATGAGGTGGGAAACTTGTGGAAGTATAATGAGGCACCCAAACACCCTCACTGAGGGGGTTCAGAGAATGCCAAGTAAGGAACTAGGACTTTCATTTCAGCTTCCTGGTAACAAGGAGCTCTACCCACAGGGGTCAGCAGAGTCCATGGAGGCAGTCTGGGTTTCCCTCCTCCCTCACTGGATAGTAACAAGTCATCTCTCACATCCCCCAGTAGGATAATGTCACAGGAGACATAGTGGATATTCAGACACCAGATGGGGGCTGGAACTCTCATCCACACCAGACAGTAAGGAGGAACCCCAACTCCTTGGGTTTCTGGAAGCCATGTGGGATATCTACATTTCTGCCTTCCTTGCCAGTGCAAGGCGTGCCCCTGTTCCCTGAAGGAGCAGAGCCACAGGAACTCAACTAAAAGAGAAAGCTTAAATGAGATAAAAGTCTCAGAGCATCACAAAATATCTAGGTTTCATTCCAAAATTACTTACCATACCAAGAACCTGTAGGATCTCAAATAGAGTGTGAAAAGATCACTAATAGATGTTAACATTGAGATGAGATGGTGAAATTTTCTCTTTTTTTATGTGTGTGTGTGGGGGTATCAGGGATTGAACCCAGGGGCGCTTAAACATTGAGCCATATCCCTAGCCCTATTTTGTATTTTATTTAGAGACAGGATCTCATTGAGTTGCTCAGTGCCTCGCTTTTGCTGAGGCTGGCTTTGGACTTGTGATCTCCTGCCTCACCTCCAGAGTCATTGGGATTACAGGAGTGTGCCACTGCACCTGACAAGATGGTGAAATTTTCTGGCAAGAATTTAAAGCCATGAATAAAATAGAGCTTCAAAAAGCAACTGCGAGTATGGTTGAAATGGAAAAGGAAAAAAGAAAACCTCAACAAAGAAACATAAAATGCAAAGAAAAACCAAATGAAACTTTAGGTCTGGAAAATACAACAATCAAAATTAAAGCAGGTTCAATAAAAGAAGGAAAAAACACTTAGCTGGAATGTAGAACAAAAGAAATTACTCATTTTGAATAACAGATAGGAAATAGACTGACCATACTGGGGATATAGGCAAAGAGTGGGATCTGTGGAGTTGTGTTGTCTAATATCTAACATTTGTGTCAAGAGAATCCTAGAAGAGGAGAAAGCAGTTAGGGATAAATAGTACTTAAATAATGGCTACATAATTACCAATTTTGGCAAAAAAAACAAATGTACAGATTTTGGGGGGATTTTTTATTGGTGCATATTAATTACATGTAACAATGACTTTCATTGTGTCATATTATAAATGTACAGATTTAAGACGCTGATAAGCCCAAAAATACCAATGCCAAGACACATCACAATCTTCTGAAGATTGAGGACTAAGAAAATTAAAAAAAGAACTCATAGATAAATGGCAACTCTTTTACAAAGACAAAATGATCASAATGACTACAGATTTCACATCAGAAATGATGGTGGCCAAAGGAAGTGACAAAATATTTTTAGGTGTTGAAGGGGGAAAAAAAAACTGTTTCACTTGAGTCTTACAGCCTGTACAAATACCCCACAGAATAAAGGAGAAATGAAGATAKTTTTAGACAAAGTATTTATTGCCATATTAGAGCTAGTAAACAGAAAGCTAAAGACAATTCAATAAACATGAAGGAATGGATAAAAGAAGAAACACTGCAAAATCAAGAGAGAGGGAGGACAAACGAAATAATTGTAAATATAATAGGCGGCTCTTTTCCTCTTGAGTGTTCTTAATTTTATTTTACTATTGAAACAAAAATTTTAACACTGTCTGATATGATTTGAAGTGTATGGAGAGGTATTATTTTGGACAAATGGAAATGGGGAGTTAAAAAGATATGAAGGAAGGTATAATCCCTCTACTTCACCTGGACTGGTAGAATGACAAAACCAGTGGACTGAGGAACTGCAAATATAATGTAGGATTTAGAGATACTACTTGAAAAGCTGTACAAAGAAAGATACTCAAAACAATATAGATGAATCAAAATGGAATTTAAAAAAATGACCAAATAACCCACAGAATGGATAACAGGAAAAGTAATCCATGAATCAAAAAGAATTTCAAGGGAAAACAAACAAACCAGAACTGCATGAAAATAACAACAACAAAATAATCAACATTTGTCAAACAAAACTGTATTAGTACTAAGAGGAAAATTTATAGTACTAYGTGCATACATTAGAAAAGAAGAAATATATTATATACTTAATCTAAAAATCCCACCTTAATAACAGAAAAAAACAGAGGACAGCAAGCAAAAGGAAGGAGATAATGAAGAAAAACACAGAAGTCCATAAAAATCAGTGACCCCCCCAAAAAAAAGAGAGAGAGAAAATTTATGAAACAAAGGTCTGCTTCTTTGAAAAAATTCAGTAACACTGATCTATTCCTAGAAAGATTGACAAAGAAAAAAAACTAGACACAAATTATTAACATCAGAAATTAAGCAAGGGATATCACTACAGACTCTGAAGACACTAAAAAGAAGTGGTAATACTATCAAAGASTATGCTCATAAATCTGACAGCTTAGATAAAACAGACCAACTCCTCAAAAAATATAAAACTACCACAACTCATCCTATGTAAGACAGAACACACAAATTAATTTTATAATGACTAAAGATATTTCAAACATGGTTTAAAACTCCCCCGGAAAAAATATTTCTAGACCCAGATGATTTCACTGGGGAATTCTACTAAATATTAAGAATCTTCAAAGAAACTATAGCTAACTTTATACTTCAGAGTGAGATTGAGTACTCAACACTGATATTGGGAATAAGTCAAAGCTGTGTGCTCTTACCACTCATATTCATTGAAGCACTGGAATTTCCAGCTAATGCAATAGGCAAAAAATAAATAAAGGAAATAATAGGAATACAGATAGAAAAAAGAGAAATGAAATTGGC